CACAGCTTGTCAAATCTTACAGCTTGTCAAATCTCACAGCTTGTCAAATCTCACAGCTTGTCAAATCTCACAGCTTGTCAAATCTCACAGCTTGTCAAATCTCACAGCTTGTCATATCTCACAGCTTGTCAAATCTCACAGCTTGTCAAATCTCACAGCTTGTCAAATCTCACAGCTTGTCAAATCTCACAGCTTGTCAAATCTCACAGCTTGTCATATCTCACAGCTTGTCAAATCTCACAGCTTGTCAAATCTCACAGCTTGTCAAATCTCGCAGCTTGTCAAATCTCACAGCTTGTCAAATCTCACAGCTTGTCAAATCTCACAGCTTGTCATATCTCACAGCTTGTCAAATCTCACAGCTTGTCATATCTCACAGCTTGTCAAATCTCACAGCTTGTCATATCTCACAGCTTGTCAAATCTCGCAGCTTGTCATATCTCACAGCTTGTCAAATCTCACAGCTTGTCATATCTCACAGCTTGTCATATCTCACAGCTTGTCAAATCTCACAGCTTGTCATATCTCACAGCTTGTCAAATCTCACAGCTTGTCAAATCTCACAGCTTGTCATATCTCACAGCTTGTCAAATCTCACAGCTTGTCAAATCTCACAGCTTGTCATATCTCACAGCTTGTCATATCTCACAGCTTGTCATATCTCACAGCTTGTCAAATCTCACAGCTTGTCAAATCTCGCAGCTTGTCAAATCTCGCAGCTTGTCAAATCTCACAGCTTGTCAAATCTCACAGCTTGTCAAATCTCACAGCTTGTCAAATCTCACAGCTTGTCAAATCTCACAGCTTGTCAAATCTCACAGCTTGTCATATCTCACAGCTTGTCATATCTCACAGCTTGTCAAATCTCACAGCTTGTCAAATCTCACAGCTTGTCAAATCTCACAGCTTGTCATATCTCACAGCTTGTCATATCTCACAGCTTGTCAAATCTCACAGCTTGTCATATCTCACAGCTTGTCAAATCTCACAGCTTGTCAAATCTCACAGCTTGTCAAATCTCGCAGCTTGTCAAATCTCACAGCTTGTCAAATCTCACAGCTTGTCAAATCTCACAGCTTGTCAAATCTCACAGCTTGTCAAATCTCACAGCTTGTCAAATCTCACAGCTTGTCATATCTCACAGCTTGTCAAATCTCACAGCTTGTCAAATCTCACAGCTTGTCAAATCTCACAGCTTGTCAAATCTCACAGCTTGTCAAATCTCACAGCTTGTCAAATCTCACAGCTTGTCAAATCTCACAGCTTGTCATATCTCACAGCTTGTCATATCTCACAGCTTGTCAAATCTCACAGCTTGTCAAATCTCACAGCTTGTCAAATCTCACAGCTTGTCAAATCTCACAGCTTGTCAAATCTCACAGCTTGTCAAATCTCACAGCTTGTCAAATGTCACAGCTTGTCAAATCTCACAGCTTGTCATATCTCACAGCTTGTCATATCTCACAGCTTGTCAAATCTCACAGCTTGTCAAATCTCACAGCTTGTCAAATCTCACAGCTTGTCATATCTCACAGCTTGTCAAATCGCACAGCTTGTCAAATCTCGCAGCTTGTCATATCTCACAGCTTGTCATATCTCGCAGCTTGTCATATCTCACAGCTTGTCATATCTCACAGCTTGTCAAATCTCACAGCTTGTCATATCTCACAGCTTGTCAAATCTCACAGCTTGTCATATCTCACAGCTTGTCAAATCTCACAGCTTGTCAAATCTCACAGCTTGTCAAATCTCACAGCTTGTCAAATCTCACAGCTTGTCAAATCTCACAGCTTGTCAAATCTCACAGCTTGTCAAATCTCACAGCTTGTCAAATCTCACAGCTTGTCAAATCTCACAGCTTGTCATATCTCACAGCTTGTCAAATCTCACAGCTTGTCATATCTCACAGCTTGTCAAATCTCACAGCTTGTCATATCTCACAGCTTGTCAAATCTCACAGCTTGTCATATCTCACAGCTTGTCAAATCTCACAGCTTGTCAAATCTCACAGCTTGTCAAATCTCACAGCTTGTCAAATCTCACAGCTTGTCATATCTCACAGCTTGTCATATCTCACAGCTTGTCAACATGACGTGTTCGCACTGCTTGTTCCCAGTTGTTGACAAGTCTGGAACAAGTTGTCATCATCTTGTAACAAGGTTAATGAGGCTAACAGACTCGCACCATGTTGTTCCTAGCCTGCGAACAGCTGTTGTTCCAACAAGTCTGATATCATCTGTACGTTACAAGTTGTTAACAAGTCGATGACATCAAGCTCGTAGCAACTTGTTACGAACAGCCTGTATTTTGTTTGTACAACTTGTAGCAAGTCTGTTACCGTCATCAACCTGGAAACAACGGAATAACAACCAGTGATAACAACTTGTTCCAGACTTGTCACAACACCTGGGAACAGGCAATCTTTTGTATCTAGTATGAATTTTGTCGGTTTCTGTTATAATTCTATGGTTTGTTTAGGTACATGAGTTTTAGAGAGTGGTTTTTGACGAAGTGTTTAAGTCTTCTACAATACATGAATCTTATTCCAGACGAATTGCTTGAGTTGCAGTCAAAGTATAGCAATGCTGTTTAACGTCGTAGTCCAGGTATGGAGATGCAAGTGTATGGTAATTGCAGTATTACAGTAATTCTCAAACCTCTGATAGTTTTGCGACGATTATACCATATGGGGACGATAATGTGGAAAGTTTTTACAGTTCAGTAAGAATATGGAGCATGTAGAGAGACATGAATCCGTTTCTTACGTCGACAAAGAGCCGGAAGACGTAACGATACTCGACTGTTCAGGGCCGAGCACACTGTACATACATCAAGTACGGTATCGTTATATACTCTCGGCTTTTTATATACTTTTAGCTTTTTTATTGAACCATGAACATTTTTTTTACAAAACGTCGGAGACGTGGAGCGAGTTGACACTGAGATAAAAAGACGAATAATCTCGTTTTTAAGGAAACTTTTATTCATTTGTATTTGAGTCAAACGTGTGCGAGCAACGTTGGGACAAGCTCGAGCAATGTTTGCCAAGCATATATTTGAGTGGAATTGACACTTCAAAAAGTGCTTATTTACTGTAGACAATGTACATAGTTGCATGTCACATAGACAAAGTCATCAAATGACGTCTTTATATTTTCCCATCTATATAAAATTGCACTATTATAATACTCCCTTTTACACTAATGGAGCTATCATGTACAAATAAAATTGCTCTGCTAATGTTTTGACTTTTTCTTTCTTTTTATCTTTAAATTGTCTTCCTTTTTCTCTGAGGGCATATGATGCAGTCCACGGACTTGTCCTATTTCATCTGCATACTGCTGCAATGACATCCCCACACCACCTTCAAAAGACAAGCCATTTATCCTTTGTTTTCCTCTTGAATCCTGTGAATGTACTACCAAAGTTGTATCCATGGATCCTATGTTATCTTCTGGTTGTTTGGGGTAGGCTTTGCTATCTGTACCCTTATACATACTCGTCATATCCGTGTCATAATTATTCGTTTCCCCATATGTACCATCCATACCCTTGTCAACTCCCTCATTATCCATATAATTACCATCCTTATTGTCCTCATACGACTCACCGTATCCCCTACTCGTACCGTTGCTACCATATGGTTCCTTATAATCACCCATCATATCCCCATAAGGATCGTTATAAGAACCACTTATATCCTTACTTCCTGCTTCGAGTCCCTGATCATTCCAAGAAGTCATGTCAGAACGCATCAAATCCATGTCGTCATCGTAATGACCCCATTTATCCCAGTTCTGTTGTTGGTGAGTCTTCATCACTTTCCCTGTCAAATATTTTTGGTTTTCCGTGAAGTCTTGGTCGCGGTAATGGTGCCTTGAATGTTGGGTTGCCCATGGGTGAAGCATCTGATGGTTAATTATCGATGGCGCTTTAGACTCTTCTGTATTGGAAGAACTAGTATCATTTGTTGGTGGATGATGGTTTAACTGACTGGTTTGAGCTGTTGTATGGTCGTCTATGGGTTTGTCCATATCATTAACTTTAGAATGATTAAATTGATGACTTTGAGCTTTGGTAGTATCTTGCAGAGCTTGATTCGTATTGTCCATATCATCTTTAATATGGTTAAATTGATTCATTTGACCATTCAAATTATCTTCGAGTGGTTCCTCCTTGTTGAATTGACTGTTTTGAGCTTTCAAATTATCTTCGGATGATCCCGCCATGTTAAATTGGTTGTTTTGAGCATTTATATTATCTTGGACAGGTTGCTCCTTGAAGCTGCTGTCCATATCATTATTTTTAACATGATTAAACTGATTCAATTGACCTTTCAAAGCATCGTCAGATGATCCCGCTATGCTAAACTGACTGTTTTGAGCTTTTCTATTATCTTGTAAAAGTTGCTCCTTGAAGCTGCTGTCCATATCATTATTTTTAATATGATTAAACTGATTCAAGTGACCTTTCAAAGCATCGTCAGATGATCCCGCTATGTTAAACTGACTGTTTTGAGCTTTTCTATTATCTTGTAAAAGTTGCTCCTTGAAGCTGCTGTCCATATCATTGTCTTTATCATGGTTAAACTGATTCAAGTGACCTTTCAAAGTATCTTCGGATGATCCTTCCATGTTAAACTGACTGTTTTGAGCATTTCTGTTATGTTGTAAAGGTTGCTCCTTGAAGCTGCTGTCCATATCTTTGTCTTTATCATGATTGAACCGACTACTCTGAGTTTTATCTATTAAAAACTCGTCTTTGTTAAACCCGTTGTTAAACTCATCCATTTGAGGTTCTACATTATCTTCTAAAGCTTCATTTTTAAACCGGCTGTCCATGTCATCATCCATATTGTCATGTTCATATTTACTAATATCTTTATACATCATATCGTTGTCCATTTCCACTGTCGAGCTTGTTGCAGGCCAAATAGATTCTGAACCGAGGTCGTTTAAAAAACTTTTGCCGACTTTGTATCCTAGACCTGGGTATAGATGCTTGTTAAGGTTGATACCATTTTGTGCTGGTACTACTGGGAGGGTAGATGGTGGAGCAGTGGTACTTACTGGTGGTGATGATGATGGTACGCCAGATGTAGTTGGTGGTGACGTGCTACTGGTAGTGCTAGTAACTGGAAGTAAGACTTGTTTGGAAAGACCAGTGTTAATTGGTTTACCACTATTTGGTGAGGCAATGGTACCTGGTTGTGTATTGGTACCTAGTGCTACTTTGGATGGTCCCGTTGGATTAGTACCAGTGCTAGAACTAGCGACAGAGGTACCACTATTTGGTGAGGCGCTCGTAGTAGTGACTGGTTGTGTGGTTGTTAGAGCTGGTTTGGTAGCACCTGGTGTAACTTTGGATGGAGTAGTCAAAGTGGTACCACTGTTTGGTGTAGTACCAGCAGTAGTTGTTAAGGCTGGTTGTTGAGTGGCAACGGAACCAGGTATTATTTTGGAAGGTGGTTTAGTACCAATGGTTGTGCTTGCTGGTAACGTTGATGGTGCAGAACCAGTTGTGGTACCATCTGCTGGTAGCCCACCAGTAGCGCTTGTTGTGGTTGGTTGGGTTTTGGCTGTGCCTGAGCCTACTGTTTGTTTAGATGGACCGGTTTTAAATGGTTTGACACCTGAAGTACTGGTGGTTGTGGTCGTTGGTAATGTTGATGGTGCAGAACCAGTAGCGCTTGGTATGGTTGGTTTGATTTTGGCTGTGCTTGGGCCTAATAATTGTTTAGATGGACCGGTTTTAAATGGTTTGGCACCTGAAGTACTGGTGGTTGTGGTCGTTGGTAATGTTGATGGTGCAGAACCAGTAGCGCTTGGTATGGTTGGTTTGATTTTGGCTGTGCTTGGGCCTAATAATTGTTTAGATGGACCGGTTTTAAATGGTTTGGCACCTGAAGTACTGGTGGTTGTGGCCGTTGGTAATGTTGATGGTGCAGAACCAGTAGCGCTTGGTATGGTTGATTGGGTTTTGGCGGTGCCTGAGCCTACTGTTTGTTTAGATGGACCGGTTTTAAATGGTTTGACACCTGAAGTACTGGTGGTTGTGGCCGTTGGTAATGTCGATGATGCAGAACCAGCAGTGCTTGGTACGGTTGGTTGCGTTTTGGCTGTGCTTGGGCGTAATAATTGTTTGGGTGGACCGTTTTTAAATGGTTTGGCACCTGAAGTACTGGTGGTTGTGGTCATTGGTAATGTTGATGGTGCAGATTGTGGTGTACCAGTATTAACTGTTGGTGGTTTATTGGTGGTAACTTTCGGTGGTTTAAAAGATGTTAGTAGTTCCTTTGATGGTGCTTTGGGAGAAACTGTAACTGCGACTACTGGTACACCAGCACTAAGTATACCAGCAGTCGGTGGTTGTTTGTCCAGTTGTGATGTCAAGCTACCATCAGGGTTTTCACCTTCAGTGAACATATCTCCACCATCAACAGTGGATGTACCATACATTGAGTTATCATCATCATTGTTCACAGATGAGTCGCTAGTGCTTGGTACCACCGTATCACCAACTGTAGGTTGCGGTGGAGTGAATACGTGTTCTGCACATTGTTTCTCATTGAAACTTCCTTTAAAAACGTTAAACTTATTTTGTCCGGCAACATTCCCTGGCAAGAAATATCTGGCCACAACAAACACACAAGGTTTCTGTTTCTGTATTGCAGTTGCCACACCAAAGCCAACCTTTGTGCTTCCTTTCCATACAAGTTGAGTAAAGTGGTCTGCTATGCCATCTTTTGATTTTTTCTTGGCGAAATCGTAGTTGCACACATTCCAGTACCTAAACACGACAGTGGAAAACGTAGCAGTGAAGTTTTATCACCCATAAATTAGTCAAACTAAACTAACTTTATTTATACTGGATATCTTTATCAGTTCAAAACAGTTCTCTCTAGAGGTCCAGTACGAACCGTCCATTATTTGCCCAGTGTTACTTCAAGTGGAAATGTAAACTAAATTGATTTTGTACTTAGTTGGAAATCCAGTGGCAGTAAGGGTCTAACTGGAAGCATTCTTACATGCAACTCAGGGGCCATTTTAAACAACTCTTTGCCATCGTGCAGCGAACCGCATCTACAAAAAAATGCAGTCGAACCGCAGTCGCATAAATGAAAGCCTCGTGTAATGACCACTATGTCAGTAACAATCAAACCATAGTTAAACTGTAATTGTCTCTTACCAAGCTTCAGTAACAGACCGCCCTGTAACTACACTGTTACAACTTGTGTAAATACTTTCACCCAGATTGTTAGAAATAGCGACATCGTTGGTGGATTGCCTTGCTAAGTTGTCAGCATGCTTTTGTGCTCCAGCGTTCAAATTCTTGTCATTACTCATTGGTAAGACGCCATGAACCAGACGGAACTCGTTGTGTGCACCCAGGGCGTCGTCTAGAAATTGTTCAGGTCCTAAACGGACAAGAATATGATGGTCATACTTGAGTTAAGTTCATTCATTGCAGTCCGTATATCATTCTGCATGATGAGAAATTGATGGGTTGCAGAAAGCGTTACTAGGCAGCAGAAATGTTAATACTTGCAGGAGCCAAAAATTTAACTTGCTCTCTCTCGTCTTTGCCGCCCCCTTCTTCTCCCGCTTTCGCCCCCCCCCCCCCCCCTTGTGGCTATAAAGACAAAGTACGCCGGCAACCTTTATAGCCATGGTTTGTGGCTATAAAGACAAAGTACGCCGGCAACCCTTATAGCCATGGTCTGTGGCTATAAAGACAAAGTACGCCGGCAACCCTTATAGCCATGGTTTGTGGCTATAAAGACAAAGTACGCCGGCAACCCTTATAGCCATGGTTTGTGGCTATAAAGACAAAGTACGCCGGCAACCCTTATAGCCATGGTTTGTGGCTATAAAGACAAAGTACGCCGGCAACCCTTATAGCCATGGTTTGTGGCTATAAAGACAAAGTACGCCGGCAACCCTTATAGCCATGGTTTGTTGCTATAAAGTACGCCTGTATTCGGCAACCTTATAGCTACGGTTTGTGTGACCATCGTAGAGACTGTTCTGTACTGCTTTTGAAACGAACCAATACTTACCAAGTATGGGTTACATTAGCACCACTCAAACTTTCACCACACTGTGAGTACGTATTTTGTCCTATCCCCCCTGGAAGAAGACTAAAAGCTCCCTTGGACGGGGGTTTCTTGGCAAATTCGCTTGCGCGGATTCGAGCATCAGCGTTCAGATTGGCATCGAGCCGTAGCAGTTTTGATAAATGTCTAAATCGAAGACTGTTGTGCTCCCTCAAGATGGCTTGTTGAAAGTCTTTTAATGCTGCAGGATAAAGGTATTTATTGTTAACTTAATTGTTGTTCGTTGTTATCTGCACATTTTGTTATTAAAAAATACTTTTGTTATAAATATTAGAAAACTTTCACTTACATTCTTCATGTGCAGTTACAGGTCCTGTTGTTGGTGCTTTACCACTGGCTACTGGTGCTACCACATTTGATGGTGGTTGTGATGGTGCTGTACTCGTTATTGGTGTCCCTGTTGCTGATGGTGCTTTAACTGGCGTTGCATCGTCTACAGAAGTTGTGTCTGGTGAATTGGTCTCAGAGTTCATTCCTGGTGGAGTTGAACTGGACTCTTGTTCTGATGGTACTGTCGAACTGCTGGTATCTGATGGTGCAGGCGACATATCTGCTGTACTCGTTTCAGAAACCATTCTTGTTGGATCTGCACCAGACTCCTGTTTTAATGGTGCTCCTGAATCATCAGATGGTACACCCATATTTTCACCATTAGATTCATGCAGCATAGTATTGGTTGCTGGTGGAGTTATATTGGATTCCTGCTCTGATGGTACTCCTGTACCATCCGTAGCCATCTCATTCGCAGCATATGCTGGTACACCCATATTTTCACCATTAGAAGCATACAGGTTAGTATTCGTTGCTGGTTGAGTTCTACTGGTTTCTTGTTCTGATGGCACATCATTCGCGGCATATGCTGCTGGTACACCTATATTTTCACCATTAGAATCATACAGGTTAGTATTTGTTGCTGGTTGAGTTATACTGGTTTCCTGTTCTGATGGTACTCTAGTGCCATCCGTAGCCACCTTATTCGCAGCATATGTTGGTACACCCATATTTTCACCATTAGATTCGTACAGTGGTAAACTGGATTGTTTTTCTTGTGGCGCCTCTGTCCCGTCTGCTACATCACCTGGTACGCTCATGCCATCGTTAGCTTCGTAAAGCTTAGTGTCTGTCTGGTGCGGAAAGACTTCGGAAAAGAGGCGTTCACTAATTGAGTTTACAAGGTCACTTTGCGTTGTATGTAATGGTCCTTCGTCTGGTTCACTCGCCAGCACATTTCCCTTCTTGTAATTACAAATATTGTTCACTTCACGTCTTACAACGCTGGTAGAGAACCATCCTAAAATATTCCCCGCAGGTTTGTATCTTGCAACAACACAAACACATTTCATAGCGGGATCGTGTTTATCCACCCCGGTAGCATAACCAATACCAATCTCCCTGGTAGGTTTCCACACAAGTTGAGTGAAATGACCCGTCACCTTTCCAGGATTTGATTTAGAGTCTTGGAAATTGTAACCACATACTTCGCTATACCTAGGACATGAAGGCAGATATACATCACACAACTTTCGCCTAAAACTGTCGCATGCAACCTGCTTATACAACTTGAGTTGTACTGTGTAAATCAAGTCTACGTTGTCGTAGATGAGTTGTGTGCTTGATTTACACAGTACAACTCAAGTTGTAAGCAGGTTGCATGTACCAGTATTCAAAATCCAGTATTCAATATTCGTCTCCCACCCCCGACTCTAGGAGACTTATCGAAACCCACCGGTGACTTACCATTTCGTGATTGCGTCATTTGGCGAAGGAAGATTGGTTTTGGAGCACTCCATGAAGAGATTTTCACCTTGGTCAGGTCTTTCTGCCTGGCTGGAATGATCCATGGAGCCCTGAAGAAGCAAGCTCTTGGCATAACCAGTGGCACTCTCACTCATCGCTTTGTTTAGTTGAAGCGTCTGAGCATCGTGGAGTTTACGGTACTTGTTGTGCTTCATTAAAGCTTCTTCTTGGAATTGATCTGGAGGAGAGAAAAATGATTTGTTTGTAAGATGATTATGTTCATCAATGTGGGTAAATGATGTGAATGTGTGTAAATGATGTGATCCCAGCAATATGTAGTTCTATGGTTATACCAGAAAGCTGTGAATTGAAGGGATTCAACAATCTGAAAAATACAAGTAAAACCTGGACGTTTCGAGCGAAGGCTCTCCGTCGGAAGGTTACCAGCCTGTTACTGTCACTCCCTAAGCTGGCGCAGTATAATGTCACCTTAATCGCATATATTTCCAGTTTGACTCTATCGATGGCGCACTCGTCAAAGCAAGCGCCTTTCACCTCTGAGATCGTGGGCTCGAGTCTCGCTACGGACTCATGTGTGAACTCATGTGAAAAGAGTCAGTCAACGCTCTGCCGAAAGTCGTGTGTTTTCTCCGGGTGCTCCGGTTCCCTCCCACAGGGAAAGTTGACAGGATGGGTTAGGATAAACACAGTTAAGAAAGTAATCACAATTGTTGTAAAAATAAATAGTCTAAGCTTAGTTAGGTAATATAAGTAAGCGTAATACTTGATGTAATCGGCCACTGAAAAGCCCCGATGGGGGGCGAGTTGAATAATCGTAATAATCATACCAAACACTCCGTGTTTTTTCTGTGTACAAGCAAATTAGTTTAGTTATACGCGTGTTCTTGTTGTCTACAAATTATGACAACTATCTTGAGAAACATATTCTACCTTGTGGAGTCGCATCATCGCTTAGGCCAAGTTCAATACCGTTTCTTTTGTATCCTAGTATAGCATCGGGAATTTGTACATCATATTTCTCTTTATGATTCTTTCTTGCATTGGAAGGAGTGTGTACATCATTGTATTTCTCTTTATGGTTCTTTTTTGATGTTTTAGTCCGAGACGTGCTACCTTGACCGTCACGTTTTGCCGTTTTGCCCATTACTTCATCAATATCTTTAGATTTTTTATTCATTTCGTCGTCTTCATTCATTTCATTGCCCTCGTAATCATCATCGTTATTTTTAAACGATGAAGTGTGTTTATTTGATCCCGTTTCTTCATTCAAAAGTGAGAATTTTGACAGAACGTTGTCATGCGGCATTTGATCCTTGTCTGCAACTGGTTTTGCTGACATTCCTGTTGTGAAGTTCAAGAGGTATTTAATATTTGCCAAGGCCGAGCAAAGATAAATTTGGTGTGGGCGAGTCTTATCCTTGCCGTACCAAAAAATTGAGAGTGGTGAAATGGGCTTTTAAAACAAATTCATCAATACGAACTTACCAGAAAATGAAAGCAATAGAATACTCAGAAATAATATTTTGGATGCCATATTGCATGTGCATGCAGCTACAAATTTTGAAAGAAAATAGTTTAGTTTTACCGCGATTAAGTTCATTAATTATCAATCATAAATCAGAATACCTAATTCTGCTTCAAAAATTACGCTTGTGTCGTGTTATTCTAGCGATTCCATACGATTCCACATCATTTTGCAAGCCGGTGTCTAGACAATGTCTTTCAAAATATTTCCATTCACTTTCAGAGTTCTCCTTCCTTTTGTCCAAATGTTTGAAACTTGTGGTAATGGCTGAACTAGTGAAAGTCTTGCCGAGATTACGGTGGTTTTCAAATAATCGTTTCAAGAGAGGAATAAAATCATTTTTGCCAACAATGTCAAGTTTGGAATCAAAAGTTTGAACAGGTTCCGCGTTCCGCCCCACCCGTCTCAAAATAAAAACAACGTCTGCTTGTTTATAAAATATATTTCTCATACACAAAAATCAGCAATGTTTCGTGTTTTATTCTAAACAGTAAAGTGTTTTTAGAAAGCTTCCATTAATTGAAAATACCTCGGAACAGCAAGAAAGTTAGGTAAATATTTTATAATTTCAATCATTTATTGAATTTACAGTTCTATCTATTGACTATATGTAGTCTGGTTTGGATGTAACGGTCTGATCATCTGAACGTGATCAATAACAGCATCATTTCATTTCTACAATCAGTAGATTGATTTCCATGCAGCAGACTAATTCACCTCGGTGTCAGTAGCTCGAGTTTAAGATCTACGACGCGTCTTCAAAACAAAGAAATTCTTCATAAACTAAGCATTATGCCTGCTTTCCATATGGTCGTAAAAATTGAGTCACGATCTTTCTCAACGGCCAGTTTATAATAGTTTATACCTGTAAACCACATATAAATCATAAGTATTCTCTAGTTATAATCACTCCGCGTATTTTCAGTTCTAAACTGTTGTATTTCGGCTGATGAGAAAGATCGTGACTCAATCTTTACGACCGTTACGACCATAATCACGTCTTTGCAGCAACACGAAAGCTTATTCCGACGTTAAATGTGTTACATAAAGCCAGCTTTATAGCAAACACCAAATCGTTTCTCCTCAACTTAGCTGTTTGTAACGTTATTTTAAAAAGGTTCAAAGCATTTATTACAGTAATCAAAGTTCTTAGCGCTCATTCTTGAGCTCAAATTGAGACGCAACGTAGATTGTAAACTCTCTACTGACTTGGTGACGACAGCTAAAACCAAGTGGAAACTAGACGCGCTTTCCATGAACACGACCAGAACGGTCAAATTATTGAATGAAACACAACAAGTTCGGACCTATCTGGCCGGAAAATTTAGATAAAATTAGAATGAGGTCCATTTTCGCTAGATATTGGAGAAACATAGACCAGATCTTTCCATTGATACAGAGACAAAAATTCGGGTCTGACCTGTCAGGTCGTTGAATGGAAAGCGCCCTAGGTTTATCAACCAAAAGTTTGTTCCTAGTGTCTTTGAAGTTATGTTAGTCATCCATGCATGCAGTATATAGTATATATAATATGAAGTATATATAATGTTGGTTGTTCAAATTGTCAGGTTTCAATTGTAATATAATGTTGGTTGTTCAAATGTCAGGTTTCAATTGTCGATCGCTGAGGGATATTTTATCTCCAGGTTTGAACGCGGGCATCCCAAGATACGGACAACTTGCACAACGGAATGCATCGCCAAGATAACACTGAAAGAACAAAATGACAATGAAGGAACGAATTAGAGAATGGAGGTATGTTGTACTTCAATACACACTTCCGGAAAGTACCCTGGCTGTAGAGCCTTGCTTTCATTACAGACGTTCAGATGTCACTTCCACTACAATTCACTGGCTTAGTAGCTTGGATATATCAAACACATCTGATTGGTTGATGGTCCCTTAATGGTAGCAGTAGCGGAAGTCAAACCTGAACCTCTATCATTAAGACGTTTGGGTTTTATAACTAATGTCATATACACGAAAACGAAGCTTTATAGCCAACGTATTTTCCGAAAGGGTGTATTGTTAGGCTGGTCTAAAGAAGGATGACAGTTGATGGTCGTTGACTAGAGCGACGACTCTCGCTCGCGTTCGGACCGCCAACCTACATTGATTCTCTTCAATTCTCATCAATTTTGAGCGTATTCAAATTTTGATGAACGTCAACGAGTGTTTTTGCTCGCCACGCGCGGGAAGATCCGTCTCGTGTTGAAGCCAGGTACTTACACTGCCACATGCAGATTTCGGTTGAGCTCCTTCAACACCATTGGCTAGATCTTCCGCTAACCCACATGAGCTACAAAATCAAATAACATGATTTTAAATGTGCGTTTTAATATGTTTGATGGGTAGTTTTGTGTGGTAGATGTGTGGATTTAAGAAATGAGGCCCTACTTTGATGAAGAGAGAAAACATACCAGTTCTTGCAGGCTTTCTTTTTGCCAGAGTTAGGTCCACAAACACCTAGAAAGATGGAGATTAAACCTGTTATCCTCTACCATAAAACCCTATCTATGGAAGGACAAAATATTTTTGAAGATATATAATAGCTTATATTATGTCCACCACACTTACTCTTCAATGTAGATGGATCAGGTTTCTTTCGATCGTTTTCATCCAACAAATCATCTGAATCAATTATATCCTAATTAAGATAATTGATACATTAATTAATTACTATTAGAAGATGAAGTTTCCTTGTTGGATGTGAAATAGAACATTCTCAAGAACCTAAACATACAACATCATCATTTATATCTTGTGCTGATAATGTCCACACTTTAGCTGCGTTGCCTGTTGAAGTTTCTGTGAATAATAATACTTAAATAAATACACATCCAGACCATATTATTATTAATTACATTTCCTCTCTACAGAACATGAGATCAGTGCATTAAACAGCATAATAATTTCACTGCATTTCAAAAGAGTTTTACCTTTTTTCTTTGCAAATGAGAGTTTTAGTTGTGTGCTTGTACCAACATTGTATGAAGGTTTTTCACATTTCATCTGTCAAAAGTATAAAATTGGCATGGATTGAACTAGGCCATGGTTTATTACCACACAATGTGTGAGATATGAAACACATCAGTGTAAATATTGCACATTGTTTTACCTCGACTACATCTATTTTATTTTCAGTACTCAAAACCTTTTGCAAAGTTTTTAATTGTTCATCTCTTATTGCCACAGGTGCACCCTAAAAATTAAATTATATATGATTTTAAAACTTATTTTACAAAAAATAAGAGAAAACTTAGATAATAAGTCTGATAGCTCTGCTTAAGTCTGTTTATTTACCACTAAATACAAGACTCCTGTTTTGAAAAATACAGTACTGAAAATACACCCTTCTGCATGGAAAGTATGTCACTTTGGCTTTAGAGCCTTGTTTTGTGTTTATAACATTAGTTAAAGCCCTGTGTCTCAATCACAAAGACATGGCTATATAGCTGAGGTGATGTACCTTCAGGAAGCATGTGTTACACAGGGCTTGAAATAACAGCTGATCACTGATCAATCGGCAAGAAATTGCTTATGATCGGTGGGAAAGCAGAGTTTCCAACCTAAAAAAGCGAGGAAAGTCATGACTGCCGATCACCATGATTGGGTACTTTGGGAATGTTATTTCAAGCCCTGGCTATATTATTTTTTCAGTCTGACAACATATCGCTTGAGTGTTCAGTCTGTCTGTAATTGTGGTACTTTGTGAACTGCAACTATTTATTGTAATTCAGATCACCTGTGATATATTAATAAATCCTGACAACTTTAGGGTTGAAACAATCTTATCCTGAGTGACTAGACTATTCACATTTCCTAGAAAAAATGTATTTCTATATGAGAGAAGTTATTCAACAATAAAATATTCTAATTGGTAATTAGAAAAGCAATTTCAAGTATGAAAAGCCTAACCTGTAGTCTGTCGGAGTATCAGTGAACCTGATGGTTTTAAAATTCTTGCTATTTCAGCGAGGGTATCAAAGTTGTGAACAAATGTTGATGGAAATGTAATGCCAGAATAAATATTATCAAATGAAGACTCTGTATGTGACGCTGCAAAGAAATTGAAGGTATTTGTCTGATTATAAATTCTCCTCAACTTCTCCTTTGTCCCATGTGGGAAACTGCTCCTAGTTTGACTCTAACAATCAGAGTGGATTTCCACTTGCAGAGAAATAGTTTGTCATCAAAATATTTCATTTGATTTCTTTTGAATTGTGACCATCTGAATATAAAATCAGTTCTACTTGATCGCTCACAATTCAAACGAAATTGAGCGAAATATTTCGACAGTGACATTTTTCTTGCGACTGGAAATCCACTTTAAAGAATGATTGCAGGTTTTCTCTATGACTCCAGTTTGCTGCTGTAGTATTCCAGTGGCCAGAAAGGGACGATCTTTACTGAACCTCTAGTGTAGAACTGATAGAGCTATCCAGTATAAATGTTAGTTTAGTTTAGGTTTCCTCCTGTAGTAACACTGGATCAATACAGTATGGTCCTCACCTTAGAAAGAACAGTTTAGTAATGTACCATTTATCACAAAATTATATAATATTTTAATACAACGGGCATTACATATTATATATATTAATTAATTTATGACCAAAATGATTTTACTTCCCATTCCCAACAATTTTACGTATTTAACTTGTATTTAACTTGTACAACTGTACATTTTATTTATAATACCACTACACCTAACATTCCCAAGGCTTTATAAATAACAAATTTCAGCAATTTCACGCCACAACTTACATAATTTTAACCTATCAATATGCTCAACGTTGACTTTGCCAGTTGAGCCAGCAAGCTGAGTCATACGACCTACGATCTCCTCTAAATCCTGCGGTGGAGAACCTCCTGACCAAATCAATAACACTGTTTGCCCTTCTTTTATACAATCCATTTATTTCAAGGTAAAATATTGTATAGAAACTGAGCAAGAAGTAATTTCTAAACCAAACCAAAACAATTTTCAATTTTCAGTCGCAATGAAACAAAATTGTTTTTTGTTGATGGACCACTGACCACTACAATGACGGCTCAGAGATGACGGTGTCAACATGCCGCGTTAATATTGCTCGGTTTATGGTTGTCACAACTCCTTTGACAAAGACGGACTGTATTCACACTGGTAAGGAAATATTATTTTGTGCTTAGATATCATTCGAGAAGTTTTTTCTGCAAATGACAATGTAAAGAAACGGTAGTTATGTTTTGTTCACGTGCATGTGTCAGCAGCTTTTCTCGACTATGGCTTCTTTTCTGAGGTTTTTGCATGCAGTTTGTTTCATTCAAATATTATATTTCCATTGTTCCTTGTGATGTTCTCGTGTGCGTTTTTCCTCCC